AATGGGTCCCGATTTCCTTTCATACTCTGCGGTATGTTTATAGAATTTACTATTCTTTTTTGTTTAACTTAACAGAAGTTTTGTAGCCGTTTGGTATACTTTGCTATACGAACGTGGAGTAATTGGTGCAAAAAACAAGAACTCAATTCACCTCTTAAAAGCTTCTACAGTGATGTAATCGTTCTACCTTGTGCTTGCACGGACATGTTTCTGATGTGTGGCAAGATTGGAGCTTTAGTGCCTCAGTGACCGATAATGATTTGGCTGGCAAATGCAACGAAGGCAGTGTCGGCAGTGCTGCAGTTCGTCCGTCCGTCCCTGTGTGCATGTGTTTACGCCCATCGATCTGGACGCACGACTTCTACGGCTTAATTTGGAACACGCGCACGCCCACCGATTGGGCGTCCCAAGGTCAGGCACCAGATTTGCCTCTTCCCTCAAGTGCTGTGCGCGGAGTGCGTTCGTGGGCAGGCTGGTTTTGGACAGAAGGCAGCAACTGTTTCATACAAAGCATCCCATGATAGATTCAAAGGAAGAGGAGACGATGTGTCGCCACCACACACATATCTCTGCCACTTAGATTTCGCCCACTAACTTCGCATTTTTCCCGCACTCATGAATTATTTGCCTAAATATCTTCGAATCCTCCTGGCATCCTTCCGAGTTTTCAGTCATAACCTGAAGAAAAGTTTTTATGGATGACTTATAAGTTATTCTGTTCCTAAGTGAGGTCTCCTAGCATTTTGAAATTGTATTTCTTCAGTCGAGAAGCATTAACCTCACAGCATTTATTGTCCCATTCTTACTATTCTTAAGATGTCTATTCGTTTCATTTCACTAGACGATGATAATAAATATTGCGAATGAAAATTCGATTTTAAAATAAGTACAGAAACCTCTATAAACTCACACATGTTTTATCCAAAATCTAAGCTTTATCTTTCCGAATTTTTGTAACTAAATGGGCTAGAAGTTGTTGATGTTCACCACATTAGTCGAATATTACCGTGATGTTGCCCCACCTGTGAACCTTGAGTCCCAGTCATCAACAGTCTGTTCGGTTTCAGCACTTAGCGTGATTCCTCTAAGTAGCAAACGGATGAGACGCTTTTTCCGGATGAATTTATGATGTGAGGCTATCAATAAAGTTTTGAAGCAGTACTTTTATGAATCTTCTGTATTCATCTGTAACGTCAAGTGTGAAAGACAGTTCAAACAAAGTCTTTTGAACTTTGGTACTAGCATCCATTCGACGGATTCCCAGTTTTAAAATCATCGATGAAAAATAAGCCTAACATTTGACTTCCCGGATTTAAAGTTTAAATTTTTACTCGTTAAGACGCAGATTATGCTATTAAGGATGCTCGTGCTGGCTGATTCATCTCGTTTTTTTTTGTGCTGTTGCAGGACTGGTGTCAGTCTCTGGACTACTGCGTGCCTGACCGAATCCCTCCTCACCATTTGGGTTCAGTGTCCGGAATGGCCGAGTTGGCACGATCTCAGCAGGGGTAACTTCGCTCCCTATTTCCTCCCCCAGCCTGGAAGGGTCTGCAGATGCTGCTGTCGGTAGCATTGCTGCATTGAATCAGCATTGTTAACTCCGCTAGAGTCACCCAAACACACCTGAAACAACAACAGTAGCAATAAGATAAACCACTTTTCTTCCCACCAGTAACCGCCAAATACAAAACCCGTTTCGTAGAAGGACAACCACCTCATTGCTTTTCGTGACGTGCTAATGACCCCACTGATATGGCTTTCGGAGTTGCATGTTATCAAGGAGCGTTAACACATTCAAAATACCCACACACACCCTTGCTTTTCTTCAAGTTTTAAAGAGCCGCGACAGCCTCGCGTTCTCCACCATCTAGTCTGCTAAGGTAGTGTGTGGATCTGTATATGTACATCCAAAGCGAGGCTCGTGCTTTCTTCCACTATCATGAGGGAGTACTCCCTAGAATTATTGAAACACTGATTTTCTGCATGTCACCTTCCTCCTTCCCGGTCCTTTCTGACTTATTAATTGCATTTGTTTTCACTTCTCTCCACTAATCTACATAAATTATCTAACAGAGACCTTTGCTACCGAGTTCCTTTCCTTAGTCCTCCATATTCCTTTAAATTTGCCCCCTACCACTCAAAACATCAGATACTTCACCTGTGCCCATCTTCTCATTGTATTTTCTGCATGTCGCATTCTCTCTGTCTCTTATTCGACCACAGTAATATGCCATAATGTTGGGCATATGAGTAAAGAGTCATAAAATAAAGGGATTTTATTAAAAGAAGCTTAGTAGTTTTTGAACTGTCAACACTTTTTTAGTACCTTATACTCTGCCTAGCTAATAACTTGCTATTTAATTATAAAACATTAATCGGAATGCATTCATACTGCAATTAGGCCTACCTCATGAGGGCGGGCTAGAATGTGTATTGGCATGCTCCTGAAGTTTGCCACCGATATTCCTCATTGCGGAGCCAGGGACAACTGATGTATGTTTTCCATCGGAGGATCGTTCTTTCTGGTGCGTGTACTTATAGAGTTAAGGTAGAGTGAATTCAAAGAAAAAAGGATTTATAGTTTTCATATAAACGAGGTTTGAAGGAAGAAGTACGGTTTTCTCACGGGGGTGGAGGGAGAGCCGACCTATTTGGTGCGCGTGACGTCCGATCGCTCTTCAACTGAATACATAATTGGTTAACTACTACAAAAATCTAATAGTTTCAAATGCAAATCTAGTGACGTTTATGTAAGCTAGCACCGATCTACTGTAACAAGTTATGCTACCACTGTAAGGCCCTTTGTGAAGCCTTTAAAACTGAATGGATGAGAAATGAGATAAAATATAGGTCAGATTTCATGGAATCTGTGCAGCTTAATTCATTATCTGCTTCTTGCTTTATGACAACGAGCTTCAATGAACAATAAACAAAAGTGGAAAAGTGACATTAAGCCCAAATTTATGTTTTGGTAAAGCCCTGTAAAATTTATCGGCACGTATGGTAGACTGAACCTTTTTCAGCTATATCAAATAGGCGAATTTGGCAGTGCTGATAAAAGTCGGTTTTTATAACGATCAAAACCACAAAAATTTAGGTGAAGGAGAATCGGAATAAGATCATAATATGAATCTTATTGAAGTCGATACCGTTGAAACATCTCTGTGAGAAAATATCCGTTACACAAAGCCCTTCTGTTGCTGCAACTGGGACCTATCACGTACCTGTACCCAAACACGAGAATCCTCCGTACAAACAGCAAATCACCAAGTGAATGGTGCCTTCTTACACGAATGCGTTTACTCGTTGAACTACAAATTGTTCGGTAGAGCAAACAGTTCTCTGCCAACCCTCCCCCTCCCTATCCCAATAACCATAATTTTGCCCTCCATTTAGGAGTTTTTATTCGCGTTAGGCAGACAATTCATTGTACTGTTGCAGTTTGAGCTTAGTCATTCACAAATTGTGAAGCTGTTAGCCTACTCTCACTTATTTTACTTTTCCGTGCTTCAAAGTGAAGAGTGGGTGACATAAGGGTACTACAATAAATTGGCTGATAGACATAATTGCTGTGATCCAACGCGAGTAGCTACAATGGATGAGAAAACGAGTATGGAAAACGCATCATCGACAGTCATTGACCAAAATCAAAATCAACAGGCCTACTTACTTTCCATATGTCGATTTTGATTTTTACACTCCAACAGTTTGTACTTTATTTTGATTTGGCCTGAGCATGGACTTAACGCTGAGCAATTACATTCGTTTGAATCAGCCCTAGAGAACTGAACGAACCAACAACTAATTTGTTTACATCGAAATCTGAAGTTCACACATTCGAAGCAGTCATGATTGGGAAGGCTCACTAGTAAGGCAGGTTTCCTCTAACCGTCGCCTTCTTCAGAATGTAGAGCTGCACGAGTTACAGTGGATTGTACTTTTAGTCCCCTGGAATGGCACAGATTCTAACATAAAAATAATGGAAAAATATTGCAAGCCATGCCAAATAACCTCGACTAAACTACACCCAAATCTAAGTGCTTCCTGAATGAATGGAACTCTAAGCCATAGGGCGACCACCGTGCAAACTAGGTCACTTTTGTAATTACATTACAAGTAAACGCGAAAATTCCTTCGTGTGTTACATGGAACGTTCGACATATTTGGATGCTAATACGAACCGGCATAACTCTAGCATCACTTCCAATTTGCTCATATCTTATTGTCCCACCAAACTTTAAATTACGCAAGTGGTTAGAAGGGAAGGTTAGGCTAAGCCATGCCATTGAAATCTTGAAAAAAATATTAGGGAGCTTCACTGCAAGTCGTGGCTGTCATACTATTTTGATGCCAGTAACTGCTTTATTGCAAATTTCACGATAGGTGTACGGGTCGCCGGGTCCACCATGGCCTGACAATAGCAAATGCGGTGCCTTTGCCCTTTTATTGGCGCCTTTTTAATAAAACTTAAAAATTATTAGAAGCAGACTTTGGTTTGATTATAGATGGGAAGATGAGAAATCTAGTTGCCTTTTTTAATTAATCGCTATTGGTGGGAGTCTCCTTCCACTAAATGGGCAAATATTACGTGTCATACCACTTTTTCTTGTTTGCCGGCGTCATAGTTTAATCTTTAGTTTTTTTGAGTTTGCCATTGTCGACGGTTTTAGCTGCTGGGCTGATTTGTGAGTAAACATCCGGAGACAGCTGCGCCTTAAAGCCTGTTGATAAAGTTAGGAGAGACGAGATGTGAGGAGCTCAGCCTGATGACGAGGACGCCTCAACTCAATGCCCGCTGACGACCGCAAAAGTGGCGTCCAGGGCCTAATCAGATCACTTAATTCACATCGATTTTGTCTGCATCACTCAACAATGCGATCGATTTGTTTGAAATATTCACAGACTACTCGCTTTGGGCGCCTAATTTGTCGTCTTCAGGGGTGTAGTGTTCTCAGTTCCGCCGTGTTGCAAATACTTTGGCCTTCAATAGAGAGGACACAATGAGTTCAAGAGCGGCTTTTCGAAGCATTCCACAACCACCAGAGCGCCTATCGAAAAAAATCTGCTTTATTCTTAACAACCTCACTGAACACAACCTAAAAAGCCAAACACATGAGCTCATGTCCCAACTGCCTCTTCACTTCAATCGCTGGTTGGCCGAATTCATCATAAGCAGAGTTGCGACCGAGTCGAATCTGGTCGATATGTATACCGAATTCGTTTTACTTGCAACAAACCGTCAGAATAATTTTCGTCCGCTTATTCTTGATTTACTCACACGTGAGATCGACTTTCTGCTACGACCAGGCCAACTGAACTCTACCAATGGAAGATCACTGAAAAATTTCGGAGCTTTTCTTGGTCGCCTTACATTGGCCAAGGGCATAAAGCTTGGAGTTGACCTCAAGTCGCTTATCTACGTGGCCTACAAGAACCGACCTGAATCTTTGGATTATATTGTCCCATTCATCTGCGAGCTGCTAAAGAACATCAAGCACAGCGGTTCCTTCCGGGAACTGGACCCATGGATGCGAGAAATATTGGAGGTGACCAAGGAACTGCATGATAATACTGACAAACTTCCCATTCAATTCGAGGTGGAACTCCTCTTCAGCTACCTAGAGTGCGACATGAGTGAGATTGCGACGGCCTTCTACTTGAGACGGATAAAATAACAATAATGAAGGAGTCGAAAGGGCCAGCCAATGTTAGACCAAACAAAAGTTTTGTAGTGCAACCCAGCGTTGGTGCGTATGCGTGTGTGAGACTGCATCCACGATGAAATTTCCAACAAATCATTCCAATTCCTGAAAGTATCTTCCCTTTTTACATACTTCTTGGGCTGAAAATCAAAAAGACCATGTTGGGAGTAACCTAACTGGTATACTTTAACCTCCGTCATTCGCCCACCGTTGAAGTTATTCTGGTCTAATCACATAGAACAACAACCTAATCTTAGCGAACTTGAAGCTTGTGAGATGTATCATCATTTGGAAACATGATACGGCTCCATAATGTGGTTGCGTAGGTCCGATAACATTTTAAACTAGAGAGTGATCAACTCAGTTGTTAAATTCAATTCGTGTACGTCAATCAGTTGCTCGTAACACTTGTGCAAAATAATCAAGATGAAACTCGACTCAAGAAAAATGGATTTTATGTAATGTGTAATAAAGTGCTAAACCATTTTCAAAGGGTATCCTTGAAAACTGCACAGGCATGTACACTCCATGCCGAAGGAGCATTTATTTGGCGTCTTGAAATGAACAAGTTTAGATCAAAATGCACAAAAGGTAAAGACATCACCAGTCCACGAGCCTAGCCTCTAGCGGTCCTGAAGCGCAAACGTGCACTGTATTCAAAGTGAAAATGTATGGTAGAAGAAGGTAAACAGACTGTAACTGGCCGTTGGTTGTGCTCCTGATAGAGAGGAAGTGGAACAAGACGAGAGATACTGGGATTTGTACAGAAAGTAATCAGAGGGCACTGCGTCGGTCGAATGGGCGCTGGGAGACTCCAATGGCGGCCATCGCGGCAGCCCACGGTGGAGCAGGCGACCCTTCCATTTCCGTCAGCGCTGTTGTTCGCGCCTCACATGACGAAATTGACGCCGATGAGGGCGACCGCAGAGCCGGCGGGGCATAGCTCTGTCGTACGACCTTTACGGCTTCACGGCTCACAGAGAAACTCTCGTTCGGTCGGGTACGATCACGCACTATGGCTTTGGCCAAAACCGAGGATCTGCTCGGTAGCGGTAGTGATGAATGGGTGGAGGATTTTGTTTCATTCTAGAATGGTAGAAATGAGCTGATCAACTTTCGGACCTCTCCATGCCCTGGAAGACTTTTGAAGATTGTTGCAAAATCAGGAACTTCTAAAATCATTCATCTTCGTAGTGTTATATCCATAGAATCGCATCTATGGAACTAAGTTATTGCCCAGCGATTCACCCTATTATAATCAAGGTTCAGTGTAAGTTGCTTGTACTTAAGGATCACTCTTCAAATAAAGGCCGTTACCTTATCAGCCAATGAATATACCGAAATTAGAGAAAATTAATGGGTGCCAATATGGTCAATACAAATCTTCAATCGCCAATTAGGTAAAATGGAATTTCGACGAAAAGTCTAACCTAGATCCATATTCATAGGATTCAAAAAGTGTTTAGTGTTAGTAATTGATATGAGTATCTCGTTAAAGTGAATTGAACCCACAATCGAACCTAGAACTTCCAATGACATTTCAGCGAAATAGGTGGTTGCATCAATGCAGAGAAGTTCACTGACAATTTTGAGAGAAGCAGGACTAGACGTTGTCTTTTGTGCAGCAATGGAGAGGAGGGTTCTTCGCAACCCGGGAACCGGTGAGACATCAGAAGGAAGGACCGATAAAGAAGGAAGGTCGGAGACTTCGGACGTGTTTGAGTCAGTATCTTCAGAGCCGTTGCTATCAAAGGCGGCTGCGTTGCGTCGTTGCCACTCGTTGATGGTCTGGAGGAAGCTGTCATCAAATTGAAAGGGAGTACATCGCAGCACTTCCTTTCTCCCTATGGAATCATGAGAGGTGCACTGTCGATTCTCTATGGCCAAGGAAGGTGATAGATGCTGCTGCTGTTGCTGTTGGTGCTGGAGGTGGGAGACCTGCAGCTACATGGAAAATGGACCAGCAATAGTATCACGATAGAAGTACTTTTTGCAATGAACAGGCTTAGCACTAACCGAATCTGCATAGCTTTGATTCTCAACCTGAGTGGGATGTCCAATAATTTGTGTAATTAATGCCTCATCTCCAAGCAAATATGCATCATAGTTCACCTCCATTCTTTGTCTTCTTTGGTCTTCATACATGGCGTTAAGTTTTCTAGTTTCGATATGACGTCGCAGCCGAAATTCGTCAAGGAAAGAAAGGAAAGTTTTTCATAGACTCGGAACTCATTAATGTCTAGATCACCAAGTCATTGAATTATGCAACCCATTCTTCGATTACCAATACAACAGTGAGAAAATCAAAAAAGGATTTATCATCATTATTGAATTGAAAGTCAACCTATGCAGCTAAGATCTTAATGTTGAAGAGACGCACAAAGATGAGTAGCCGCTGAGGCGATTAGACTATTAATTTTATCAGTATAGAGTTTACAGAGCCTTCCAGTGCAACTCATAGAGCGTTTGGGGTCAATATCAAGGAGAGCTACCACCCGCCTGGGAAAAACCTAGACTCCAGTCTCAGGAATTGCAGCATTATATTGTGCATGGGAGTTTGTACCAATAAGTTGACCATTTATAAGGCACATTTTAAAACTCAAGGGGGTTTTATGCAAGGAAGAAAGAGGAGATAAAGGTCCACTTGCCGGGCCAACATGGCAACAGTAGAAGTCATCGCATGACTGCACCTCGAGAGGGTAATAAACAAGGCGTGCTCGTACCAGTGTTTGTGTGAAAAATTTGGATGTACAATCAATGCTCAAGGAGCATTGGTGCTCCTGCCAAGATCTAGGCGTCGAATGGCGCTCGTGCACACACACGCACACACAAACATTGTGCCGACGTCATCCAATATCACTTCAATCCCGATCCCTCCACCTATCAGGAGTACATCAATCGGTAAAATTACTCACCCTAATGCGAAGCGAAACGTTTTTCGTGCAACTGATTGTAAGCATGTCACTCCCTTTAAGCCCTCATTTAGGTTTACGATTTATGCAGTCAGAAGCCTGTTGAACTTCAAATGATTCCGATATGGGAGAGTGCGGCACGAGACTCACCTTGTCAGCACAGTTTTCTCCATTTATTTCAAGCACAAAGGAGTCGTCTGCGCTTTTGAAAGAATCGGACTTCTGCTTCGCCAAAGAAGGCGATGCTTGTGGGTGACGTAAGACCGTAGAGTCGGCACCTAAGGGTCCACCATAGACTGACTGTAGAGGATCGCAGCTCCGACATATGGTTCATAGGAATAAGGACAGTCGCACTCACCTTGCTTGCGATCCACTTCTGCGTTACCTTGATGGCTGTAAGCAGTAATATGGGTTATGGAAATAAGTTAAATCAGTGTAGCGATTTCATCTACTACTGTGTCATACTTCTTCCAGCTCCATCAACTGACAAGGAACAATTTCAAGGTAGAAATTACTTTTTTTAAAGATAAGCTATCATCCCGTTTTTCTACGTAACACTCTCCAGATTAGAGTGCAACATCCTCAAAACGAGTTAAGGCATGCGTTATTTTTCTGTATCTGTTTAGGATCTGCCCTCTGCTCATGGCAGTAAAATGGATGCGCCGATTGTGAACATCAGTAGCGCATTGTATGGAAGAACAAGGATCATACATGAGACGAAGAATTCTCAGCTTCTAAAGGCTGTTTCATAAGCCATGTTCATTTTTCAGATCAAATATAAACACCAAAAAGTGGGTAATTTAGTGGTAAATTAAGTGAAATAGTTTATGCAGGGAGTACTAAGCGATTAGAGGAGATCAGAAAGTTGTGTCTTGCATGCTTACTTTTAGTTTCTCAACTCCATAGTCACAAATCGTTCATTATTCCATAAGAGGACCAAACGCTGATAAGTAAAGACAAATTCGCGTGGTACTCATTTTGTTAGATCAATCTTTCCATGCCTGACCTTCATATAATTGGTGCCTTTGTTTTGGGAACTGACTCAGTGACCAATCTCACAAGGCCAAAAGTTGTAAGCATTTGACAGTTTAAAGAAGGGTTAAAGTTATTTCAATAAACTACCGTAAATTAGGTCTACATATGTAAGCAGTGAGCAATAATTAACTGTTATTAAAGTAGAGGCAGAACTCACGTCATTTCAAGCCGGATATGCTCTTTTGGTGATGACTTTAAGGACTCTTCAATGGCCTGCTTTGATTTGATGTGCCACCACTTGAACTTAGTCTTCTTCGCCTCCTCGTCGTAACCATCGCCATAAAGCACGGTCGGCACTTCCTCTCGCCGAACGTCTGCTGCCGCGGCATAGCGTTTCCGCAGGTCTCCAAGACGTGGCCACGGCAATGGCGCAAGGTCGTACATACAAGAGATAAACTCCTTGGTCTTCAGACCCGGCCGATCAGCACCCGAAGCGATCTCTTCCATCCACTGGCTCACACTAGAGTAGAACCTGTCAGCCGACGGCAGCCTCATCAAGTCTCTAAACAAGAATCATGAACCACTCCTTAGTGTTTATAAGCACTACATGCAGTCGATGTCGCCACTACGGTTTACTTTTGGTCAACGACTGTACCCCCTGAAGAAGTAGATATTGAAGGTTAACTGCCACATTAGATAATGCCGCGCCCTTAATTGTTGGGAAGATCGCATTCTAATTTCAACAACTTCTCAGTTCAATGTTAGTCATTGATTTATATCCATGCAGTCCCAAGCCTGTGTGTTAGGGATCAGAGTAAGAGACGAATTGTTTTGCAAGCATCATTAGCATTCGGGTTGAAATAAGTCATTATGATCTACCAAACAAAAGAGTGCACTACGCACCATGGAACATCCAAAACATTGTAAGCATTTTCGTGATAGATGGACGCTAGTAGTATTTACACCTTGCTGCTCAAATAAGTAACCATGGTATTCAAAATTATTTTTGTGATAGAGAAGCATAAAGTTCAAAAAAGGTGAGAGACTGTGGCTGAACCAAGATGGAGGTGATCAATGGAGAGGGGACTCACAGTGAGAGAATCTGCATAACAACAAGTCCTGCTCTGAGTACCACCTCTGAGCCCTCCAGCAGGATGGCGTCCCAAATTCGCAGGACTATGTTCATCGGAAGGCAAGTAGCAAAGAGGGTTACAAACCACTGAATCGCGAAGAGGTCCGTCAATGGCGGTTCATACGGTGTACGAGTAGCAGTGGAGGAGGTGAAATTAAGGGCCTCAATCGCTAAAAGTAGTTTAAAAGATGGCAAACATGATTTCGTAGTTTTTGATGCATATGCTGAAAGCACACGACTTGAGTCAGTGCCAAGGGGTGCTTGAAATCACATGCCAGATAGTAATAAAAGCGGAAGAGCTGCAGATCGCTTCTACCTTTGCTGATGGTGAAAACAACGGCTGTCCCTAAAAGCAATCTTCAGAGAAGCAGTGTTCCTTAATTAGGCGTTAAGCGTGGAATAGAGTAGCGGTAAAAATTGTATCAAACAACGGATTTCTGCGACGTACATGAATAATTTTCAAAAATCCAAGCACTAGCTCTGACAATTTTTGCCTACAGTTTCAAGTATTCAACAACGGAGGTTTGTTTAAATGAGTAAACAAAGTGATGGCAGTGTAAATAATTTGGGACACTGAATTTTAGTTGTTGCATTCACTGGTTCGTATTTCGGTTTGGCTTCTTAAGTGCAATTTTGTCTCTCATTCATGATCAAAAATAAGTAATTTCATGTCAATGATAGAACCTGTTTAGGCAAAGTATTTGGCATCGTAATGCATAATCATGCTGTGAATACCATGGGATAGTCGAAGTAAATTAGGGCATAAGGATGCTGGCAATGACTAGAAGGATGCAATGGGCGTGTTTATGAGCCTAAATAAATCATTTGACGGTCCAATTGAAGGGCGACGGCATTCCAGCAAGTGGATTTGTACCAGCATCTGTACTCAACGAAATTTGTGAATTTTTTTAACGATCTCCAGGTGAATTTGTATAACGTTGCACCTTCTCATAAGGTCACAATCAGCAAATATGCACAGTGCTACCTTTCGATATTCCATGAACTTTGCCAGATGATTGAAAAACCTACTCCACAGTATATATGGCTATCTGGAATGCAATCATTCACGAAACTTGATTGAGTCGTGTCAAAGGGCAAGGCATTTTCTTCCAAAGCACAAAGTTAAAATAATATAATAAGAGTGAACGCGTAAATGCTCTACTCTCTTGATACTTTTGCGACAGTTTTGTATTCGTCATGTAAGTAACAACAGTGTCATTGGAAAGTTTATTCACAGTTCATTTTAAGCGCATCATTGTAGTGTCAGTGTCAAGAGGGAATAAAATAAACGTACCGGCATCTTGCTGCAATTTCTGCAGATGCGATGCCAACGTGGGCTGACGAAGTGCTAGTAGGTCTCTAAAAACGGCAACATCCACGGACAGAGCCCGGAGATTTCTTGCAAAGTAGGATTCAGGAAGAACGTAGTCGATGAGAAATATCATGACCTAATTAGAAAATCGCGCAGGTCTCTATAAGCTCTTAAACTATTGACTTTACAGAAAAGGTGTATGAAACGAATGTGTTCTACTTTTTTTAATAGCCACACTCTAATGCTTTGTTTGTGTGACTACCTGACGTCTGGCGGTCACTTTAAAATTTGTCTGACTCCTGTACTCGTGGGCTGAACCTCGGGCCATGGTCGGGTATATTTGCTCTGTCTTCTTCGGTATACATGAATCCAACCTCATATACTGCCCACTTCCACTCTATGGGAAGCCTCGGGACACTACACACACAGACATTTTTTCATCCTTAGCTCAGAGTCGCATTGTTTTAAGTTTATGTAAAGATACGTGCCATTTTGGATAAAACGTCAGAAGGCAAAAGCTAATCTTGTGTTTGCACTAACTGATACCTTTTGCATATTTAAGTACAATTTTATCTGCCGTGCTAAGAGGCTATGGATGAAAAATTCGATGATTTGGCTGAATTCGCCTCACTATTTTCCAGTGGTATAAAATGTTCGCCTTTAAATGCACCTCGAAAACAAGTGGCAGATTTGCACTTCAACAAAACACCAAGAGGGACAACAAATCCGGAGCGATGAAGTTGAATGTGACACTACGTTGCGCCATCGCCGAGGCGCAAAAGAAAGGCAGGCAGTGGTGAGTGCCTATGTGTTCTGTAAGGTACCTTAAGAGCTGCCTCTTCGTCGAGTTCCATGACGTTGAGAATGACAGAAGCCAGGATGTTAAACCCTTGGCAGTAGCCAACACGCCGGTTCCAACGCGCGTAAGCGGTAAGGACGCGTTTGAGCGCTGTACGGTTCACCTCAGTTGTAACGATGGCGCCGGAACCGGTACGGTGGAGGTCCTTTTCAATCTGCCGTCCCAGACGCTCCTCAGTCTCAGAGGTTTGAACATTGCGCGGCGCAAAAAGAGTCTGTGCGAGACGAGGCCAGTTGATGTGCTGCGAGTTGAGCTGGTGAGTAGCAAGGAGTAGCCAGATACGCCGGCGAAACTGCTGAGGGATGCCCTCCGGTAAGCGCGCCAGCGCTCGCATTGCCTCCCGCCACTGGCGGAACGCCTCTTTCGCCTCTGAGACCGAATCCTCCTCGCTGTCCTGTCTCACAGCTAAGCGAAGTAGGAGAGGTGAATAGGGCAATTTGATGAAAATGTCATATTATAGCAATCCTGCAATTCAAACTGGCATTCAAACTCGCATTCACATTTGCATGTTTTCATTAGCGCGCATCAATGCGTACAATAAGTGGTACAAAGCTGAGACCTAAATTGATCCAGCACTAGTGGGTATGGCGTCCGTAGTTCTCAGAACGATACTATGTTCCAATAAAAATTATGCTTTAATGGAATATAGTTTGGTGACAATGTGTCATTCAGTCATCTAATTGCGTTAAGCGATGCCATCGTGCTACACACTTAAAGCCAAATAAGTTTCTAAGGATAGCCTCACTTTGTTCAGGAGGATTTGTCGCGGTTTGGTCAGCTTTAGACTTATCAAAGTAATACTTATTTTGAATCGCCGGCTAAGGTATTACTCCCTGTTTGATTAAAAGAGTAAAATTTCAGTTCACGCATCACGTTTCGGCGCTTACTTTCCCCATTTGTTTTCTCATGTGCTCTTGTGCAAAACCTTAAAATTTAACTTGTGTTGTAGTAGGTTTCTTTGAGCATCTACACACTAATTTTCCATATAAAAAACTGGTATCAACAAAAAATGCGAAAATAACGGTGAATTGGCAATTCTTTGCTGGGTTAGCAACAAGCAAGAGCCTCTGCGAATGCCTTAAATCGTGCTCGCCAGACAGGCCTGCTTGTGCCAATGCCTGGAGAGATTGTCGAACAAGTTTTTCAATATTTAAGTAGGTGCAATTGGCAGTGGTAGACGTGCCTATAAACAGCCCTTTGTGCCCACACTATCACTGGAATTAAACTGTCACAGGCAAACAACCTCGGATTCTTTTATTGGGCTACTTGAATTTGCACACCCATCCACGCGTCATCCTAAGGCTGGCTCATGACAACGTTTAATCGAAGGGAGTTCTGAATTCCTTAAACATATTTAAAAGAATATTATTTTATATAAATTTTACCAAAACTAAGTCAATGAAAAAGCGTCACTTTTTTAGCGCCATGTACCTTAATAATGGAAAATCGTGTGATGAAAGCACAGGCGGAGCTGTACATTACGACACAACCTACGAACATTATTAGGGAAATTTCCTTGTAAAGTCAAACGCCAAGTAGCTTCATAAGCTGTCCTTAAATCTTAGGTGTAAAGGGGAGTAGCTGCGGGAGCCTTGAGTGGATTAGTCACCGTCATCGGTTCGCCTTACGGCAGTTCATTGGTTGAAATGAGAGACTGCAAGAGTAGCACGGAGTATTTCATCTGAACTTCACGGTAAACCTAACGATACACAGGCTTAAAACAATCGCTTTTTGAAGAATTTCGCGGAATACCATGACATTAATAGGCTACGACATCGACCTCAGGCATAGCTTAGTGACTCTCCCATTGCTTTTCATCTCAGTAAAGCTTCAGGATTGCCATGTAAAACGACTGATAAGTTCCTCTTTGGAAATGTGTTTTAAGAGTGGTAATGTAGTTACTAAGCTAAAACAAAGCTTAAGGCTTGAAAGCCCTCACTTGGCACAAAGAATGCAAATCAAAGATTTGGCGAAACCATAAAATCCTGCCGCAACTTACGCTTTCTCCGCCGCATGATTCGTGTTCCTGCTCCGGGCGTTAATGAAGGTTTTAGAGATGTAATTTTGCGCCTCATTGGATCGCATAATTCTAGTGGCAAATTGCTAAAGGATTCACAGTCATTATTTCCCACATCCTCATCTCCATCCCTGGCGTGGATGGCGAGATTGGTCTCACTGAGCTTTCGTCCACACGCAACCCATTGACTTTCCTCATCCATCAGCAGCATTGAGGAGTTGCTCGTGCCAAATCTGATCTCTTCACACGTTACCTCGCACATTGCAGAAGACTGAAGGCGTGCGCTTGCCCGCCCGCTCACACAACCCACTGGCTCTTGAGCCTGTGCGTGCGCGGCAAGCGCGCCGTGTGAGCAGGGCACGGACCACTGGCGCAGCTAATCTAACGTGCATGTGGCACACGAGCCTGAAACGATTGGGGGAAACGTACTGCACCAATCACCTGCACAAAGAAGGTCTAGGCAGCATCGTCTCCATTTCATGGCATACTTTTCTGCATGATATTTTTAGCGTTCCTGGCTGTCGTTGAGCTGGTTGTGCACGCGATTGCCTACCCCCAGAAAATAGCTTCATTTACAATAAGCAATCGTAAACAAACCGAGTTTTCGCTTGAAAATCAAAGCACGCAATTAGTAATCAAATAGTCACTTCGTAGTCTATATTGAAATTGGGTTGTTAGATTAGATAATTTCTGTACCAAAATTCGTTGCTTAATTATTTGTGCGACAAAGCGTCTATGTGGTACTTACCTCATTGAAACTAGAGAATCTAAGTTGGATAGGTCATTCTACTAAGTGCATTTACCACCGTTGAATGGCCTAAAACTTCGACTCGTTAGGGCCAGAAGTAATGCCTCAAAATTCCGCAATGCACTAAACCTAAAGCAGGGTCAGCTGGCAGATGACGTTTAATTCATAGAGCCACCTAACCACTTGATATGTGACCTTTGAACCATCTCTAAGCCGTGTGTCACTTGCTTCGGTGAAGCCGATTCAGAAGAACTTACGCAACACGACACCCTGTCCTCCAAAAAAAAGTGCCATGTACGCTAAACGCGTGCCACCATGACCGGGATCCTCACACTGTCGGTACTTTGATTGATCTTAAGCAGAAACCTAGCTCAAGCCAGCCTAGCTTCTTCAAAGTCTAAAAATCAATTGCTACTTCAACGTGACCAGTCAGAAGTTTAAGCTATTCTTCACGTCACTGACATTCACATTTAAAACACCAGTGCCATAATATCCACAAGACCTTGAAGGCAAAGAGAATACACTCCTTTCTTTTTACACATGAAACAGAGGAAGGATATCAAGAGTGGGACCGAAATTCCCTGAAGTGCTCAATGTACTGCGCGACAGTGGCGCGTGCAGTGGCTCGCGATAGGGAGTCCATGGCTTCCCCAGTGAGGAGTCTCTCTATGGGGGGTTTTGGTAACGCATCCTGCGACGAGTTATCCGCAAAGGCCTTTTTAAGGGTGGGTGTAAAGACCGGTACTACCTGGCCGGCGAAGAGCTCCGGAAAGTGCTGTCGACCAAAGGTACGCAGAAGCTCGCCGCTCAGTGAAGGGGGACACGTGGGCTGGAAGGAGATCTGAAGGAGATGGACAGGAGAAACGAACAGCCAAAAGGTCATTAAGAGGAGTAGGAGACCATAATTGGATAGTTGCTTACCTCGAGAAGGAGACCTTTGATTGTTGGGCTCTGACCCAATGAAATAGTCATAAAATTGATAAAAAAATCACCAAGACGGTACTTTACGCCATTCCCCTCCACTTGAAGCTTCTTTTCGTACTCGTAAACACCCTTCAAAAGACCAGGGACCTCTCGAAATGCCAAATCGCAGGTGAGCATCTTGTCCGGTTCTGCATCGTTAACAACAAAGCAAGTGGCCGGAAAGTCGGACATCGTAAAAATCTGAAAAGTGCGGTATTTCACTAAAAAGAGGTAAGGGTGGCCGAGTGATCTAACTCACCTTGATCACTCAAGGAACGGTAGACAGAGCTCTCTATCTTAACCTTGCCCACCTCAGTTGCCCCTAAGAGTTCCATCTTGCCTATCTTCTCATCCAGAACTTTCTTCTCTTGAGTTGGTATTCGAATGACTCTATTTACGTGAGCAAGACCAAAAAACTTACGCGGAAATTCCAGGCATTATATAGGCCTGCAATTGAGAAAAAATAATTCTAGGAGATACCAATATAATGACGCACAATAGTGTATACCGCTAACAGCCTACAATCGTGGACCTAACAACCGGGCCTATAAAAACTCAACTCAAAACCACGAAATGCTGAACTTAACTCACGAATTTCTGAGAAGCGAATACACAAGACAACACGTTGAACTAAGATACTACTTTTACGGGGTGGAAGGTAAAATCTTAGGGATGATAACATGCCAATCTGCAGTAAGATACATAAGAATCTAAGTTCCCATAGTCACCAGTACAGAAAATGCGTTGAGAGCAAAATAATCGATCTCAAAATTTGGCGTCAAAAAGATACGCGAATACAGAAAAACAAGTTAGTCGCAGCCTTACACTAAACGATGACAAAACGACAACCATTTCAGAGCAAGCGCCCCAAGCGCACAACAAATCGTTGATCAGGTAATAAATGCATTACATAAAAATTTTATGTTTGGCAAAATTTGTGTGGCAGATGGAATTATAAATCTCTACTTGGATTCTAATAAGCATGTGCGTTAATCGTGTATTTAATAATTTCTTTTGCTTGCATAATTAACCTCCCAAATTCTAGATTTATTAAAATAAATCCATTAACTTATGCCACTGCAAAGCTGATTAATAGTCTTAAGGTGAATATCTTTAAATTTTTTAAAATTTCATTTGTTCAACCTTTTAAGCCATTACTAAAATGTCAAAGTTCGTGACAAATTAAAATATATTCGAATTCTGCGGTTCCCATAAAGAGAAAGTAGCTGTTGTAGCGTCCCGAGGCTTCCCATAGGGTGGAAGAAGGCATATGCGAGGCTTAATACATGTATTCCGAAGACGACAGGGCAGATGAGGCCTGAGTGTGGCCCGAAGGACAGCTTACGTGTATAGGGGCCAAACAAATTCTAAATTGACCGCCAAACGTCATGTGGTCACATAAAAAAGCATTACACCTGTAGCCTCTTTAGACTTTCCTAGAAAAGAAGGGAAATAGAGTCCATGGGTAGTATATATCCGCCCAAATGTGGGAATTGGGAACATTGGCTTGGCTTAGAGATTAGTTCATCCAGCCAGTGGGGACGGCCTGATGATTTCTATTTGGTGGAAGAAGGCATTAATTGGAACAGATTGGGTCGTGACTTGGCCTGGAGGCCAGCACATTCAAACAAGATCAAGATTCGCACTAAATTGACAGTCGGTCACACCGGTAGTCAAATGAACAGATTATTTTAACGGATAATCTTGTGTCCTTAACTAATGTCGAGCCTTAGGTTAGGCTAAAGGCTTTGTTGACTATATGTAAAGCGATTTTGGAGCTGTGGTCCAAAATGTTAGGCGTAAGTTTGAAAGGATGACAAATGCTTCTGGGTGCTTTCATAAAGTCTCTATCCGAAATGTATTTTATCCCTCCTTTCTACTTTGGCTACTTTAAAACGGAATGTGTAGTGATTTTTTGTTTGACTGCGAATTATGGTTGTGGTCACTTAATTGGCCATATTCCTTTAGCTTGGTGGACTGGCTTACGGGCTGTGTCAAGAGACACAATTCTCTTCTGTTTTACTTAATATATGCACCTTGCTCAGTTGCTATGCCCTTTCTATCCAATGCATAAAAGGGCTTCGACGCGATACAGGATGCATATCAGTGTCTCGTATTATTTTCCAATTGAGGCTCGATCTTATCGCAGAGTCCTCATGCTGCTTTAGATTCTCTTACACTTATAATACGGTTGGATATCGTCAGGAGGTGCAAAACTATTAGACTCTTAACTGCAATAACGTTGATTCGGCTTTTTTTAAAAATATTTGGATAGTTTGTAGCAGAAAAGCCCAGTTTTTCGCTAAGGTTATCGGCTCTACTGATTCCACCGTATCCACCCGAATTTTAATAGTAATTTTGTTTCAAGGCTCTGTAAACAAGATTGCAAAAAATAGCTTCATCTTCTTAAGCACAGTCATCTAACTAGGGTTCTGAGTAGTACCGAAAATAACTTCCCTTCTAGGAACCAAATCTCAAAATTTTCAAAGCTTCTTTGTAAGTGCTCCAAAAATTCCCTGCTCGATAGGCCTTTTATCCAACTATATTAACCATTTATTACATCTGAAAATTATTGCATCATCTTGCTATCCATTGAATATTCAAGGAAGTTCGATTGGCGTTACCGCTACAAGCTCTATGTCTCTATTGATGTACATAAAAACATCAGGGTAGCATCGCGGGTCATCATTAATTGCAGGTGAATTGAGTACTTAAACATAGTTGGTGAGGAAGTATAAGAAATAGTGGTCAGAATTCTTCATCACTTGGTCACTTGAGACTAAAGATTGCGATTGTCACTGAAACGACGATGCAACGTTATTGTCGAGTTCGTCGGTGTGGAAGCTTTGACAGCGCTTGGGTCGGATATTTCGGGAGCATCAACAGTGTTCCAACGCTCTTTCAATTTGCGACGCAGCCGTGCCCTCGTCAAGTTGTCCATTGCCGCAAAAGCAGCATCCTGGCCAGACTCCTCAATGTCCTTGATGGCAAGGAGATAGCTGTCCACCAAATCCACTTGCTCGTCCCCTCCGAAGGTAATGGAAACATTAACACCACGCGGACGCGTGTTCGTTTCTTGGTCAGCGCTAGGCGTCACCTCTGTGTTGATGGCCCGGTGGCGCACCTGCTTGACCAGTGGCGTAACATTTGCCTCACTCGCTGTTTCCTTCGTCGTTGGCCGTGGCACTTCATCAAACGACAGTATCTGTATGTCCGTTTGTGTTGACGCTGAAATCCTTGTTTTTCTAAATCAGTCAAACTAATGCCTGTCTATATGGGACGCGACGGAAGCACAATGCTGCCTTAATGGAGCAGCTTACTTCCCTTCTATTCTTTTAGCTTCTGGGTGGTATCTGATTGTGCTCATCGTTATCATGACATAAGATGAGCCAGCATTGGTTAATTTCATTCTAATTTACAGCCATCACTCTGCCTTAGAACACTAGAATTTGACAATGGAATGTCAATAGCTTAACAAGACCAACGCCTAGAAATCGTTTGTACAGCTAAGTAGTAGGCATAAGTTTTGTTAATGGTGACGCTTTTATGTTAAAGGTAGTGAAGAGGACATGATGCAGCAGAAAGTATGGTAGTAAGACTCAAACCCTAGAACTTGCATCTTTACTCTGCCTGATCGCAAAGCAGCGAGGTGTCGCATTGAAGAAAGTAGCCTCAATTGCGCCGTAGTAAACAAGAGCACCTGACTGCTTGACTTGCAGTTGTAGAGCAAAACTTGGAAAGTGCTCCAAACTTTTTGGATTTTTCTTAGGGGACGTCTATGCGGTAGTAGTTATCGGATGGCTTGTCATTACTTGCGGTCGGATTTGTTGCTTCAAGTAGCCACCTTCGATTGCAATATTTCCTATTTCTAACATGGGAGGACTTGCCGTGACTTTAGACATTTCTAAGTGCTTTCAACACTTTTAGCACCATTTTGAACGCGTAAGAAGGTACGCTGGTATATTGGAGAATCGCACAGATCATGTTAGTGAAATTCGTTACATCGTTCTCTTAAAGCCTTCATACGAGACACATATTCAAATTGTCCTGTTGTCCTGCCCTTGTTCGCAAGCACAAAACGATATTTTGTTAAAGCTTCCCAAAAGAAGCCTCAATAGGGGAACGGAGTGAATACCACTTGTGCAATCAACCACCCAAGCATTTCTAGGCTACTGCACTAAATGGTTTTTGCCAGTTATGTTATTTGAGTCTACACAAGAATATAGTGAAGAGTGATGAATACATTTTCATGATGCTTCTACCATTTTACAAAACACAGCTAGTCCTATTAAAAAGTCACGATTAGCAATAAAATTCCTTCTTAATACTTGTCCCATTAAGATGACCTAGCGCCTACCTGAGGTCAGAAAGCAACTTGGGTAAGAGTTGTTTGCCCTTCCCCTGATCGGGATCGTCGGGAAAGACGAGGTGTCCGAGGCAAAGTGGTTGCGGAGCGAAGAGGGCTTTGGGACAAGTGGTAGAGGGCAGGGCGCCGGCCACTTCGAGTTGCATCAGCTTACCAAGCTTCTCTTTTATGTCGCTGCGAGTGTGAAGGAGAACGTTGAGGTCCTGACCCTCCAGCAGCTCCACCACCTCTGCGTGCACGGATTCTAGGCGCGAGAGCTGACACTCCCACTCCGGTGCCCGTTCTATCGTCTGCATTGTCGGTCGACCCACTCGGCTGTGCAGCTGCTCTATCAACTTGTCCTCCTGACGGTGGATCTTGGTAATGTCCACAAACACGAAAAATCACAACATCCCGGTTAGCTCATTACTTTAAACTACTTATCCCAATTGGCTTCAATAGGTTTTGCGCTGCCAATGAATGAACGATAAGATGCAAATTTTGAATTTGAGTTTCTTCCAAAACACTGTGAATCCCTTCCCGTTTCAAAACTCTAGGACTGTTCTACGCATAAATAAGGACAGGACTATTGCTCACCACCAATAAAAACATTTTGTACCAAATGCTCAAATTACTCGACACTCTGATCAGTTAAGACAAGGTCGGCAGGGCGTAAATCACCAATGGTTGGAAGGTAAGGATCATCTTCGCGGGTCAAAGCTGTTGTCGCACAAAATAATTCCAAATGTGAATGTAAGGAAGGTAATGGGTGGAGACGAACTCTCAATGTCAATGAATGTTGTGGTGCCTCAGAAAGCCTTATTTTAGTAGACTTTATCACAAACTTCGGATGAATCGGTCTTCCCTCCTGAATTTGGATGCTATTTTGGAGGAAGGCATGCAGTGAGCTCTGGGGCCCCGTGGGGCAGAAAGGAGCTTAGCATCGGTGTCGAAATCCAAAACGTAAAAGGTATGCAGAACTTGAAGCAAATGAGTCAGTTGATTATTTGATTTGCAGAGTCTGTAAAATATTTTTCGACCATTAAGGTAACCATACGTTAATGAGGTCTGCATTTTGTAGTGACATTTACCTGCACCGGGTCTCACCTTTGCCTGAAATTCAGACATGTCATACGACAGATTAGCATTTTTTCAACGCAACCTCTTTGCAAGTAGGCCAACTTCACTTCATTACTTATACTGAGCTTGTGGTTTAAAGCACTACTGGCAGAAATCCTTAACCTAAGCGATAAAGTAATTGCCCTCAAGACTGATGAGTGAGACAACGTCGCCTCTAAAAGTGACAGAAATAATCTTCAAGACAATGCTGCAGCCTTGGAGGGACAGGACTGAAGCGGACCTCTCTAACACCTTTCAACCACTCATTTGTTGATAGGACATGCTTTCTCCATCTGCTGGCCCCTCGTGTTGTCAAATTGCTGTGTCACGCTCATGACCTAACTTGGGAAGTGTTAATGTGGTATCTCGCATTTAACGAGTCCCTGCCGTGCTGTGTGCCAAATGAAGGTCAATTTATAAATTGGCACTCCCTTGTTATAATTAGGTTAGTAAAAGTTGATTAGGAGCTGCTTCCGTTGATTTCGCAATCACACCTTTAACCATGCACACCTTAATTCCTGTGCTACCAGGTAATGTTTGCTAAAGTTGCTAGTTTTCTGGCCACTAACGCATACATGCAAGTACTTAAATTGTAGTGAATGAATCCAAATTCAAGTCAAAGCATTTACACATTTTATTGGTTTAAGGTGGAAAATCGCCTAAACTATCAACTTCATTCATATTCATTGGTGTTTCAGGACTTACCTCATCAATGGCTCTATCAGCGCATTCTCGAACATCCCTCTCAATCTTGTGGACCATTTCGGCTGCATCGTCTACGACTCCCAACCAATGTCGTGTTTTTTGAATGAGGGTCTGAGTCTCATTCACCTTTCTGCGTAGCTCTGCCCGCAATTTTTGAATGGCCTCCCCGAAGCTCTTCATTTCATGCTCTCGATGATCGTTGAAAGTACAGAGTACACACACGCATGTGGAACAGGCCTCGCAGTAAAAGCGCACTGGCTCTTCTGGGTGCGTCTTACACGCGATCGCACTCTCCGTAGCTAGGCTGAAAATTGCATGATCCTTCGTAACCCTGATTTCCCTATGCCGTTTGACACATTGGTCACATAACAGCTTGCCGCAGTCGAGACACTTAGAGGTAGCCTTTGGGATGGCCGATATGACTGCTGAGTTCGCCCTTTGATTGTTTGTCTCCACACTCAAGGCGTTTCTATTGGTAGAAGGTGTGGACGATCGCCCACGACCAAGTCTGTCGCCGAACTGGCCACAAATTTCGCATTTTCCGTAGCCAGAGATCTCGACGTGGCCCATTCGCCGCTGACGGTGACCTCCAAGAGGACCGCACACAGAATATTCCTCGCTCACTTCGTTTTCACGACAAGCGGCGTCGTCCAGTTCGGTGAATTGTGAGGAGGGCTTCGTTCTCGAGAGCATGTCTGCCAAACCGGAGACGAAGAAGTTGTCCGGTAGTTTTCGAACACCGCCAATAGGGAGGTTGGTACGTTTGCGGCAGAGTGGGCAGGTGAAATGATGATAGTCTGCCGTCTTGTTGTAGGTAACCTCGGCAGAGATGTGATTTTCAATGCACTTCTGACAAAATGTGTGCAGGCATGCCAACGATTTGGGTTTGTCAAAGGAATCAAGGCAGATTTTACAGATGAGAAACTCATTGTGAATTTGTTGAGCGATTTCAAAGGATATGGCTCCGAACAGAGGGAATGGGCTTGTAACACCGGGGGCCTCGGAATGGTCTTTCTCTCCTTGCTCTGTGCTTGAATGCATGGCTGATGTTGCGGCTGAACCGGAATGGCCTTGAATGCAGGGCAAATGAGGTAGCAATTTTTTCACTTCAAAAGCGATTGGAATGGAGAGTGCATAGTTAATCCTATCTCCGTAACTGATAATTGCGCTTACAGACGACGCCTTTTGTCCCTACTATTTCTAACCTTCACCAACTTTGTAATTCTATTCTTCATATTGAATCCTAGTGAAGGATTGAGCTATTAAGAGTCTCTTTTATACTGCCTTTAACGCTAAAATAACTGTGGTGTTCCACAGAAAATACAAAGTTGTCTGCCTTTAGCAACATGGATTTCATCATGTCATTGCAGTTAGCAAATGCACTGGCAAATTTTGGCGAAAGTGTTTTGCCTTGTAACATCAGCGTTACTACCGACCCCGCCTGGACGCGCGGTGCACGAACAAAGTTTAATGGCTACAGGTACGTAAAACCAAAGTGGAGAGGCGTCATTTCAATCTAATTTCTACCGTGCCAACGAATGCTAATCACCAGATTGACACTAATGCTCAAACTTATTGTCCTTTTCATCAACAACCTCCAGTGGAGACCGTTACGTTGATGCCTATTTTGACAGCCACAGACAATTGCGCAAATAACTAGTTTGCCAATTTCTCCAAAAAACTTCCGAATTCATCCGTGCTCTTTGCGTGTAATGAAGTGCTAAAGGCATGTTACTTGGAGAATTTTAATTGGAAACTGTTCTGTCTGGTGGGGATGCGCTTGAGTCAGATTTTAAATGTCAAATGATTGTACATCAGCAGCAAGAATTGGTGGAAGAACAGTCTTACCGCAGGGTGCAGACTCTTCGACTTTTAATCAAAATGACACTTTTAAAAAGTTGATCAAACTTTTGTATTCATCAGCACATTTCGATCTCAGGAGCAACCAAAAATGGTGGCAAGCATAGGGACACTGAAATGCTTATGCAAAGCGTGCGAATGACTCTTGCTGATACACACTTTAGAAAACATTGAGAAGGTATGGTGAGGAATGCTCAATTCTCTCAATGTTTGGCACTGAATTTGGCCTAAAGGAGACTCCAAATTAGAAAACATGCGGTGGCCGTCAGCATGAGGGTACACTATAGTGCGGCGTTGTGTTACTGATGGACCTGAGTCCGACGACATTCCATCCAAAAGGACTAATATGCCCCAATCAAACAAATGATGCCTAGTTTTCCTTTCAAGCCGTTTCTCGGATGAGATTTTCGCGACTTTATATATCACTGATACTTCAAACTCTTCGATGCCTACTTGTGAGTGGAAAGCCGGTAAGTTGCCCTCATTCTCTAGCACCATTTGTACTGGTTGACTGGTAGCCAACAACCTGTCTAACTACTAATGAAGCAGATCGTAAAGATGCAGGGCTCAATGGTGAGACAAATACATCGTGGATGGATCTACGGGGGAGGTTTACTCTGAACCCCCGCTTAAACAGTTACAACAGTGTTCGCTTTGGTCAGGGACTGTACACCTCCAACAGATTCAAACTACTTCTTTCATCTGTTCCCATGAAACAAATTTTGTCACACCGGACACAGAGTTTTGCTTAAAAGGGTGGATTAATCAGCACCTCAATCGGTTGATGAGATGGCTACTAACCACCTTTCAGACACTGCCACTTGGCGTGCTTACAATAAAGTTTCGTGTCGACTGACGTGATTCAGTTGGCACGCCTTGCACCTCAGCATTGGAAGCACGCACACTCGATGTTAGTGTTGGAAGAGTGTCGGAGTGGATGCGGTCATTTGTTTTTCCACATTGCTCTTGTGCGGTCCTGTTTGTAACAAATTGAGTGAAGCGCGAGGCTAGTTTTTAGACATTTTCTTTTCAACCAAATCTACAATGCTTATGTTATTATGGTAATTTCGTTTATATCTTCCAAGGGTTGCTAAAGTGACAAGCGCGTGAGCATCTGTGTAACGTTGTTAAAAGAACTACAACTTTATTGTTAAAATGGCACCTACTCACTCCAAATATAGTCTGTCGTATGTTAGTCTCCGTAATTTCTGTCCTCACCGGCACCTGGGCGACCTTAGCAGGGAACCAACCTCGCAAAAGGGTCACTTCAAAGAGTAAGGACCAACTTCGAAAATGCTCTCCAAATGAAATTGCCAATGTGCCAAATCGCTATTGAGTTTTAAGCAAACTATCCATGCCCTCTGGACTCAAATTTCGTTGATATATTTTTGGTATCTGCTTTTCCTTCACCATGACGCCAGCAACTAGTCGTTCTTAAAAAATTACTCAAGAGGTTGAAGGTATGGATGCCTTGTCAAAACTAACTGCTCATCAACTATGCACGTTGATGGTGCAATTGTCGCATTCACCATTTCCACAACTGGTCTCTCCATCACGCAGGATGGAGAGCGCAGCGTCAAAGGCGACATTTCCGATTTATTTCGCTCAACCGTGATGAGGGCAGCTCAGGCCAAGGTTTCATTTATTGGGACGCAGTGAAGTTTCACTCCAATCTAACTTGTGCACATGTTTTTAACCCACGCTCATTGTTAGGAGGAGTCGAAAATGTTTCGGAGAGCACCCACACTTGACTTCCACACCGACTGAAGGTACGCAAACCTAACCACAGTCAGTAGACGGGCCAAATCATAGGCAACTAAAGCAATGAGTGTTAAAACTGCAGAACTGCTAATCATGTTAATTTATGTAATGCTACCAAAAAAAGAGTTGCTTTCCCAAAAGCCAAAAAATGGAGAATGCGAGGGATGATTGAAATTGTGATTATGACAAGTCAAGTAAGTGCTAAACTCTCCATCCGTCAATTGCCTTGTCAAAAATTCTAAGGTGCTTTTGCTATTCATTGGCCTGTTTGACATTTTCGGAAAAGCGTTATGCACACAAATCACTTTGACATTGAAGTGAAAAAGTTTTCACATTCTCTCCAGTTGCACTATCCATAAGTTATGCTATCACACCATCTCTTCACAATGCATTTTTTATATAGGAATTTAGTTTTTTCGATTAGTGAGAAATGGTCTGCATAATGCATGAGCATGGTCAAATTTGTCTAGGTACAAAGCACCAAGTGGGAAAACGAAAGACTTCAATTTTATGTCCAAGGAAAACGGCAAAACGTGTTTCTAAAGAGCTGGTAATGGTTTTACCGATTCCTCAACGAGTTAAACATTTACTTATCAGTAACAATTTACATTTTAATTAAGTATACTTTTTTCACCCACTAATGTGCTCTGAAAAGTCAAACATCCTAGAAAGTTTAGCAGTACGCACCTCTAGTACCGGAGCGACTGAAAATGCTGCTTTGCGAACCGTTGTGCATGCCACCGAAATATATCCGCAGTAATGTGATCCACGCGAAAGTCAGCCTTTACCCCACCTAGACGCCCAAAGAGGAAAAGTGGACTGGAGACATTACTCTGAGGATTACTAGGCGGAGTAGATTTTCCAAGTGGTTAATGTTATGACCTTCAGAGGGGAGTAAGTAGAATCGAAAAGTCCTCAAAGGGTGAAGGAGTGATCTTCAATTCGTCGCGGCGGCTATTGGTAAGAGAGCGCTTGCAGGAAGGGAAAAGGGTGTGCCTACGCGCCCACCATTGGTCTGGTCGCCTTGCTGATCGCGTGCATCTATGCGCGAAGGAATCGATTGGGCACCTGGCTGTGTCGGCACTTTGCTTTCATGCACGCACGCACGCACGCACGCGCACACGGTACGCGTCAGTTGGGCAGGCGATCAATAAAAGTTCGGACACTACGCAACTAGCTCCGTGCGTCTCGTCTCCAAGTCATACATTTCTTGACAAGGTTTCGCAAACAGAAAATTTTGACTGCCATATACAACACGTTCGTTTGGCGTCACATAAATAATGCCATTTTTAAGTCTACACAGGAGCGAATTAAGCAATGAAATAAGGAAAATGTAGAAGCCGACAAATTTTTGAGAGCTCTTGCTCCCATTTTAATTGCAGAGAAGAAGGAGTAGCCGTTTTAACACAAGTAGTACTAGGTTTCATAAGCTGTTGCATTTCTGGTTTCCAGATATGTTTAAATAAGTCTTAACTTACTTCCTACTTTTGTAATATATGAGTTCGGCAGTAAGGGACTTCAAACCGGAATAAATTAGCTGATTGTCTGAACTAATGTAAGAATAAATTGATGCAATTTGTTGAAATAACTACTGATTATTATTCTAAATACTCCTTATTGCATTGTTAAGTAAATAAATAAAGCAAAACTCTATGCAGAAATATTCGACGTGAATTTGCGTGACATTTTGGCAGATCTTAAAGCTCCCGTCAGTGTTATTGTTCATTGTTCAACCTGTTGAGCACAAACCTCTACTGTCCGACGAGCTTTGCCACATTCTGCATTGTCATTGGCATGGCTTCACTGACATTTCGAAGGTCATTAAACGGAGCGGCAACACAACTAAGAAACCGTCCTCCAACCCCCAATAAGTTCTGTAGACTACTATTTCTATTTCATTCACAAATTCCGCATCAATTAATAGAAGGTGTTGCGTTTGTGATCGATGACTCCTCTTATTACACGCCACAATCATTATTTAGGTTGGCAGCTGCTGTGACACAATTTTCCCCATCCACTGCACAAATAATAAGCACAAACAGCACGTCTGAACTCTTAGTCTTTTTGGATAATGAGCCGAGTTGGTGTTGATTTTTTCCACGGGTCAGCGATACGATGTATGCTTTCAGGCTGGCATCAAGTGAATAAATGGAGGTCACTGCTGCGAGCGCAGAAGTGAATGGCACTTAAGGAAACTCAAACAGTAACGAAAGTCTGATTGATAGCATAGTTCATTTCCTCATGTCTATCTTCCTGAGTATGGTGCTAATACTCGTTTTATCAGTCACCCACAGTCCATCCAATGTGGCACAAGTCACTGATTGCGATTTGGAATTCGATACATCCATGGGCCTTGAAAAGTTTCCGTTTACTTGTTTGAGGGTTAGGTGCTTAATATTGAATGGATAGTTTCGACTTTTTGTAGGAGAATAGTTCATTAAGTGCCTCAAACCGTACTGCGTCGTTGTACTGTGTGCAATCGTAGTCGTACGCCTGGATCAACCGATGTAACGACGCTGAAGCCGTGTGACCTCCCCTCTGAGCGATGATATTTCGGTCTGCCTCACCAAAACATAGTGTGATACATTAATTGGGCCCGTGCTTCTGATTTCGCAGTTTTTTTTCTAAATGAAGGGCTTCATTATCATCTTTTTTATGATACATGCAGGTGAATGTTTGCGGTACTGAACTTTAAGGGATTACAAAAATAGACCTCGAAATCGCCTTTTGTTGACATGGCACACACTAACTATTTCCACGTCGTCACACCAACAATCTATTCCAAGTTGTCCATAAACCATCATCAGGAGATTAAGCTCAAAGAGAGTCTAAGTTAAGCAACGTCTTATGTGGGGGAATTGATATTCGCTAGACTGTACAGTCGTAATCTCCCTTCTACAAGTCGTTTCGTTTAATTTGGGGTGAAAGTAATTCCTCGCATTACTAGCACTTATTGTGCCTTATGTAGAAATGGGCAGGCAACATTTGTCTGCAAACATTTCTTAAGTGCTGTTTCTATGGCTTAAGGGAGGAGGAGAGGAGAGGGACGGGGAACAGTGATGAATGCACGCACGCCAAACGCTTTCGTTGCCTGTTTCACCACTTTTGCTTCGCCTGGTCCTCCATCCACCCATCCATTGAAAAGTGCACAAACATTTGACTTAATGAATGCAGTGCATTTTTGTGGTGATAAAATTTAAGAATAAATTTAGACCTCAGCCAAATAATCTGTCGAATTTTAAAAGGAGAGACATCAATGCTATTATTCAAGGAATTGCTTTTTAAACCATCCTTCGCCAGTTACTTGACGCTCATCGGTGTTAACTTGGATACGAAGAGTCGGGCTCTCTTTTGCACCAGAAAGCCAATTTTGGTGGATGTAGGTGAGAATCAGCCCTAAGAGTACTCAACGCCATAGCATTTGCTTTGCGGAAAATCCAATGTGTGAGCAAATCGCTTTGCCAATTGAATTTTGGGAGGAAATGGAATGGTGGAAGCCTGGGCTGCACGATTTGTGAGGCTTTCTTTCCAAGGATGCTTGGAAAGCTGCTCTGTTCTCTTGAAAATGCAATTTCGCTTTGCCAAATCATTAAAATCCCACTCTCATGCCAGTACAGTGAATTGGGCAATTTCTTTACGACCTCCGCCAAACTTCCCCACATCAAATTGGCACATTTTGCTAACAAACAAAGTTCTCACATGTAACATTCTCGGTGAAACTTGACAGAGACACCTAAAGTTTTCGTATCTTTCTCATTCACCCTCCAAACTTAACAAGTTTTCTTTCTGTCCAGAATAATGAATGGTAAGGATAATAGTGATGTGCTAGAGTAAGGCCACGACTTGTCAACATATTAAGTCAATTGTTGAAAGTTAGCGATAGTGCAGTTTGCGCTGACTACGTGTTAATCAAGACAGTTGTCCGCCCAATTGACTGGGCTCACCACATGGGTGGTCACCCACCGTTCGGCTGCATGGCTCCTGTTTCAGACTGTAACCTTGAGACCTTGCCATGGAGGGTGGCAGTATAGTTTGATTATGGTACGACTGATTCGATCACCAACTTAAATCAGCCTACTGTAAATGTTTAGATTTTTGCATTTTTGCAAGTGAAACGAGCTGAACCGAACTAAGGCGCTCATTACATTCCTCTTAGAGGGGCGTAAATGTTTGGTTTAATTCAGAGATCCACTCTCAAGTATAGTATTTGGGAACGCGTCTGATCTACAGTAAGGTAATTTGCTGAGTATGCAAGCCGTTATGCCTTCTTTGGTACTTCAAGGGAAGGATGAGCATTATTTCCGCCACTTTTTGCTTAATCACGGGGCTCTTTTCTTGCAGACCATTTCCTACATTAAAAGCCATGGTCCGTTCAAAATTCAGCATTATGAGCCAACCAAGCACGTGATCGACTGGATGTGGTCCTCGCTGCATGTGTCTAACTCCGTTCCACCCTTTGCTTTATTAGAGCACGACAGACCTAGTCCACATCACCACCTACACATATTCGCCTATCCTTCTATCCTACTGTGCGGACATTGGCTTCAGGATTTTGCCAGCCCTCTCTGCATGTAGCACACATTGCAACGCAAATGCGGTTTAGGAATGCCGAAAGTGGCATTCAGCTAAAGGGCATGCTCCATGGCATTACTTCATTGTGTCCTTTTCTCAGGATGAAATGCATGCCCAGTTCATTACGATGTAGGTTCGTAGTGCTCTGATCCTCCTCGTGTTTAACTACTCCCGTCCTTAAACAAACTTTATGGTCCCGACGACTTAACGGACCCCTCTTTCAATTTATAGAAGGAACTTACTAAACAGAGGTAAGGTTTCTTAGTTTTGAGAGGGCGTAAAAACGGTGACGTAGAGGTTTTGAAATTGATACTCTTTCATTTATAGATCAGAGGCTTCTTTTCTTTTTCGTTTTACCAATATTATTTACGTTAATAATAAGTGGATTAGAAAAAACGCCAATGGTGGAGGAGGAAGAAGTGGGGGAGGAAAGGAAACACAGAGGAAGAGATAGAGGTAGGACTTCGTCACATGATTGTTAACTTCTTATAGCGAGGTAGTGCGAACACAGTAAAAAAATAAAATGAGTACCGCCCTTCGAGTGTGCTCACACCTCCTGAGTGGAGGGGAAGGCAGGAAAGTGGAAAAAAAGGGAGGAAAGAGGAAGAGGAGGCATGTAGGGGACAACTTGGGACAGGCTGGTGACGGGTTTTAGGGCGGTGGAAGCGGCATTGCTTGAGGTATATTTCAATGCATATCTTTCACAACGCTGAGGGCCTTCATATGTGAGGGTGTAGAAACGCATTGCCCATGGGCGTTCCGTAGGCCACCGCTGCAGCAGTTTGGATAGGCATCGCTGTCCCGTTGGTATGCAGAAACCACTCAGCTGGATCGGCCGTCGTCTGCCAAAGGCACAAGAAGTGTGCATGTCATCAACAAAATATTGTGCGCACTCTTGAAGTTGCTGCTTCATTTATCCAAGGAAGGGGAATGGCAAGGCTTGCACTGTCTGGCGGCCATCATGTAATGTAGATTCATGCGGATGTACAACGAATGTTACGAACGGCAATGAACAACAACTTCAACTATGTAAGCTAGAGCAAATCAGAAAGATTTAGGGGAAGTTTACGCCATCGGATGTGTACTCCATGGCATGAGAAGGTGGCTCAAATTTATGAAGTGTGTGAAAAAGTGGTCTCGACAGTAGTGTAATTTGGGAAACAGTGCGGGACTGTCACATGACTCAGTTTGCTCGGCAAATTTAGCTGAAAATTAGAATGAAAGTGGTTTAATGCGGAACTGTTGACAAAGACAGGAAATCAACCACAAATTGCTTCTATTCACCATCTTTCCCACTACTTATAATATTTGATTTTGTTCCAGGATATCGCAACCTACGTGTTTCAATTCCAATTGGGTGTTTGCAAAGCTCACTGGAACTATGAAAAGCTATATTGTTAGTAGTATACTTTGCTAAGTATAAAGCCATTGCCAAGATGATCTTCACAAAGACTGTTCGTCCTGAATTTAGTTGTAAATAATGAAGGGGATTATCAATGACGTGGCTCTTTATGCAAGCAAGAATGCACAAATTATACCTTCTTACAAAGAAAAACGATCGTCTAGAGATCATGATAAACTGCATTTTACGCTTCCAAATTTACTTTTTGCAATGTTCAACCGACAATATTCAAGTGATGCATTAGCCTATTAAGAGCAGATGAGCGATTGTCCGATCTCACGGACAATGAAAAAATACCTGTTTACTAAATTTTAGACAGTAGCGAAGTGCATATACATTTGGATACTTGAATTTTGGCATTTTTGCGGAGGCAAAGGCAAATCAAGATATGGGTCTGTTTGGGTCACTATTTCACAAAGGCGCCAGTCATACAAATTAACATGCGTTTTAAAGACCTCTACTAAAGTCATTTTCTAAGCTAAGTACTGAAAATGAACGTGGATAAATGAAGAAGTGGAAGGAAATAATTAACCAGTAGACATTTCGTTGAAACTGTCCTCAATATGTCAGTTCAAGTGCAACGTTTAACAATCGGCCTTCTGTCCAACAGATCCGATTTCGAACAACTTAGTGAATGAAAGAGATGAACAGGGATATGCATCCTTGTGCATTCGAATAAACTTCTTGCAATAATGTAGAAATTAGCCTTTTAAAAGTTGCATTGACGCACAATAACGTCACTCTAATAAGGACAGCGCAAATGATACAAATAATAATGTCGAGTTATTCCCTCTCAATTGTTTTTTCCCAAATAAAGAAATCATTATTTGAGTGCTAAGCTGAATTTCTCAACTTCAGCGAAGGTAGCTGATTTACAAGGTGAATTTCGCTTTCAAGGCACCACTCCCATTCAAGTTCTGTTCAGCGTGTGTGTTGTACACTTAATGTGCAGAAAATGTTGCAGTAGAATAAACGCCCACTGGGATTGCTTGTCACTAAAATGAGAACTATGAAGGAGAACCGAGTGGAATGACTTCCTAAGGCGAAACGCATGACAAAAAATAATGGAACAGACGGTGTGCTAAAAAATACACACGTCAACAACACGAACCACATTTACATGCCCCTAAACTCACCTCAAATTCTCCTTCATCGTGACGGGGTCTTAAGCGCCCTTGTTCTGATCGCCAACTCAACTGAAAGCACATGCTTTCGTCATTAAAACAACAGCTCTCACATCGCAACTACAACTGGTAGTCAATCATGCGAGTGAAAATTTCTTTCACTGGCCGCTTTAAAATGCAGCAAGGAATTTTAACTTTCGGCTCTTTCAGTGATGCTATATTCTTCGAAGTGAAAATTAAGGCTTTATGAAAGCATCTGTGATTTGCGAGATTATGTGAATCATTGCAGGTGGTCTCCAACAAATCTCAATTCCCAACTTACATGATTGATTCTCAAGTCTTGTCTCCAGTTAATTCTATGCCGAAGTGTTTATATGTGCTAAGAATACAACTAGAATGATACTGTTTGGAATTGTTATGTAACTCTCACTACGATTTTGGCAGTGCTAGAAATAAGTTGAGGGTATGCTTTAAAGGCAGCATTTTTGTTCAGAGGATATTATTTCCTTGAATGGCGAGCTAAGAGAAAATTGGGTGTTGCTCTTCGTTAGCGCATGATAAAGTCGATCCACCAATATGCTGACATTAAGATACCATTACCGCTTAATATGTTTGGGTTATGAAATCATGGGTCAAAGTTGTCGTGAAACCATCTGCTTAGGTATTCATATGTTTATAACATAGTTCAACTAACAGCATGCATGAGGTACGAGGACTCACCACATTTTGCCATTGACTTGCCATGGCCGAGATGGTCTGGCCTTTTACAGACGTGATTGAGTTCTCAATACTGAGAGGGGGTGGAAACTGAATGACAGCGGTATTACTGACGTCATTAGCTATCTCGGTGGTGTCACTAGCCAGAGAAGTGTAGATTGAGTGATGTCCGGGCCCATGGGAGGGTGGAGGTGGTGGCGGTGCCATATGTGGATGGTATTGGGGGGGAAATTGTCCATAAATTTGATAGGATATCATTTGAGCTGTGGGAATCTCAGTGAGGTTACTCGATGAAAAACACTGAGAAGACGGCATGTAAGCGGGGACCTCAGATTGCGGAGGGAGGGGAGCGGTCACGGGTTTTACCTCTCCCATACCGCTGTCCGTCTTATCATCCGTGGGTGACCAGTTCTCCAACCTGGCCACCTTCGGCGAAGTGGGCTCACCCTCCTCGTCTTCCTCGTCGTCTTCATCATCATCTTCTTCCTCTTCACTTCCACCTCCTACATCACCGCCTTCCTCCTCTCCAGTATCCAAATGTCCGACAGGACCGCTTTCGAGGAGAATGCTCTCCTTTTTGATGATCATCGCTTCCTTTGGAGAGGATGTCTGTTGTTCTCCTGTTGCTGCAGAGGATGAGTCGCGTTTTCCATTGCCCTCCTCAACGCTCTCAATTTTTCTGTCGAGATTACCGAAGAGAGAGGCTGCAGGAAGGGGCTCAACGAAGTTTGCAGTCTGAGTGTATGTGAAAGGATATATGGCCGAAGGGGTTTGGGCAGTGTATGCCGTCGCAGCTGAGCGGTACATGCCCACCTGTGTCTCCAACACCGCACCGAGCTGGTGGTAGCCGGGCGTGGAAAACGAATGTTGAACCGCCTGCTGTTGTTGTTGTTGCTGCTGCTGATGGTGGTGTTGATGAGTATGATGTTGCTGCTGCTGCTGCTGCTGCAGCGCCAAAGCATGTGCCTGTTGTTGCTGCTGTTGTTGAGCTCGTTGCTGCTTCTCCTGTTTGCGATGCTTTGCACGACGGTTCTGGAACCACACCTTTTAAAACAAAAGGTCCTCAGTCATAGGACTATCGATCTACCAATTAGCAAAAAGGGGCAGCCGCCCTTTAAAAAATCACACATTCTTCCATTATTACAGATTTATATCCTTTAATGCACAGAGTGATTGACATTTGAAGGTGCTACGAAACTTAGCCTTACTAATGTTTTGTTATATTTGTTCACACTAATGCCTTGTTTATTCATTGACGACTACAAATTGTGCCGGAGGTTAACAATAAAGAAAATGTATATGAAAATTTTACGATCCCATATGCGCCTTTACGGTGCTAAAACGTCTGTTAAGTGCTTTGCAAGAGCAATACGCAATGCCTTCACACGTGATAGCATGAATTTCAAAGTGTCGATCTAAGGAATATCTCTTCGAAGTGACCTCTCTTCGAGTCAGGTGGCAGTGATGTATTGGTGCCATGCGGTGAGGATGGCGGTGTTTTCATATCAATGCTGCAGCTTTTACGTGGCAGTTTTCTTAAGCAAATAGCCTCAACCATGGTTTGTGAGAGGGAGAGAGTAAGAATGGTACCAAGAAAACAAACCACGAACGTGGCGCTATCACCACCTATCTCAACGGGTTGCAACCGGCACGCTAGTAAAACTACTACCGGGTCGATAGCTCCTCGCACCTTTTGAATGGCAGTTTTTGCTCAGTTACTCGCCGACTGACCTCTCATTCCAAACAACATCATCTAAATTTCATTCAACAATTAATATTAGCACCACACCAACACTTCATCTAGCTTTCCTGGAATTCCCTCTCAGCTCCGATAACCCATGTTCTACCCTTCCTTTTTTATCCCTAAACAATGCCGTGATTGGTGCCTTCGAAAAACAAGTACGTATAATGCAAGCGAATAACCTAGTTTACCAGTAACGTCTGCATTTCTGCCCTACTTAAAGCATTGAAAATTGGCCTTTAGTATGTAATTGGTTTAGGGAGTCGATAATGCCCAAATAAGAGACTGTTAGACGGTAAAAATTGCTGGAACCCCCTTGCACTATGAAAAGAGTTTTGGACCAGGCATCATTTAAGCTTGAATAATGACTGTAGGATGAAACACCACCAATAAGAGAGCGTTGGTATTGTGATGGAACTTTTCCACTGGATGAATGTGCTGGATAACTCTGTGAGGATGTCACCTGTCGACTTTAATTTCCCATTTTATTCCTCAAGCAAAAATCACCCGTATGCTCTCAGTCGGATGTGAATAAGACCTCTTTAAGTAGCAGAAAATTTCGGGACTATGGTTATTAGCTGATAGGATCAGATTTTATTGATGAGGTCACTCGAGGCACCTTCTAGGGGAAGCACCGGTGTCTTCCAATATAATTTGTGGAGATTTCATTAAAAGTGACCGCGCACAAAAGATCACGTCAGTTCGATTAATAGTATTTGGCCTTCATAGGCAGTGAAATAGCCATAGATGCGAACACAGGTATGGCTTTCTTCCATGTTACGATATACACTATCCTCGCGACTACTAAAGCCCGCCTTATAGGGACATTTGGACCCTCCAGACTATGCAGCTCTTCATTCGCTGTGCAGGTGGATTCAAATGAAGTCTCAAACCTTACTTATAAATATAGGAAAACGGATTTATTGCTCTAGTTATTGTTTCATGCTTATTATAAAAGTAATGGTGGAATAGTGTAACGTACGAATCAGATATTCTGCCAGAAAATGTTGTTGATGCCTTTACTGCAGTGTCTGTGTCTGTATACGCCATCCTTTGCAACAAAGCGTGGTAGTTGTGGAACACTAAGGTGCCGCAGAGACTATAGCTGTAGATGATGGGATGGTTGCGGTTACAATACGTCGATCAGAGCGGTGCCAATCTCCAATAAGGCTTTAATAACTCAAGAAGGTTATAAAGACACCCAACTGGTGGGAATGCTCGATGATGTTGGGGTTTTATCATCTCGCCAACTTTTATCGACTTGCTGCCTCCCAATTCATCGTCACATTTTTAATTGCTACTTGATGACTTCGTGTGAGAATTCTACGCTGATGGAGAAACTGTTTAATATGGAAACATTCCATAAGCCTTTTGCAACTCACAAAGTTCGGCAAATCATTATTTGAAAATGTGTTGCGATGCCTTTGCAATTAATTTTTTTAATCGGGACCTCAGAAGTTTAGTCGCTTATTAAACAGGTAAGATTTTCTTCATTTTGTTTTATCAGTCATAGATCATATTGTCGTTTGACACAGATTGTAAACAATTTGTATGCAAATTCTACTAGTTAAATGCTCCTGAACCCGAGGCACCGAAACATAACTGCTCTTGTGATTGCATGAATTTTATTGGTGTCTCAAATAAAACAGCACAACTAATGAATTACTGTACACTTCGAAATACCCGCTTTTACTCATTCTAAAACGGAAACCTGGTAGTATTGACAACAACACTGTATCCGGTTGATTTAACCAATATGTAGACAAAACAAAGGCTTCGGATTGCCATATGTGCTTGTTTCTGTTTCCAAATTGGCCCAACCAGTTCACTTTACGAATTGCGATGTCGAAATTCAAAGAAGTAAGGTAGTGTGTTAACCATGAAGACCAGTAGGGTGATTCTAAATCTAACAATATCAAAGTAAAAAGGCTCTATTCAAACAAACGATAAGTCGCCGATGGAGCCTCCTATAATCACGTGAGTCATCAATAAAAGGGTCAAACAAGCAGACAGTTCCTCACTGAAGATATTGAAACTTCTTCCTTGGATTGCAATGGCTGTCAGAGCGTTTTGATCAACCAAATGTATGATTGCAAACAATACATGATTTATTACTATTAGTGCCTTATGTTTCACACAAACAGTCGAATTTTTTTCACCTCAACACTAAATCGTGACACTTTAAAAAAACGCCAAATATCGTCATTTTCAAAAAGTTGCAATGCACTTACCGCCTTTTTCGGTTTTTTTGTAAAGCAATCATTTCGGTTAACGAAATTTTTACCTGCGTTCTGCATTCTCAAAAAATTCCAAGCAAAAGACTCCCACAAAAGCATCACATCTAATCAGGCACCTTCCAAATGGGGATCAGTGAGTATATTATTACTACTAATATTTTTTTTAAAGTTGTTTTGCCTCATTTACTCGGTTCCAACGTTATCTGTGATGTATTGCAGAAAATAAGGAATTCCTTAAGTCCGGATTAAACGTAAATGTACCTGAATTCGAGCCTCCTGTAATTTCGTTGTCTTAGCCAGATCTTCACGACAGTAAATATCCGGGTAGTGGGATCTGCGGAAAGCCGATTCTAATTCATCCAATTGCTCCTGACTAAATGTTGTTCGATGTCTTCGACGTGTTGGGGTGGAGCAGATGATCGACGTAGCTGAAGCAGTACTTGAGGTTTGCGGGAACTGCTGCATTGTACTTATGGTTTGTGATGGGGGTGGCGGTGGAGGTGGGGGCGGGGGCGGAGGTGGTGTTTGGTGAGTATCGACTAGGGAAGAGTTCTTCGGCACCGTGGGCGAAGTGACAGAAGCGGAGGAGCTGGAGCCTCTTGACTGAGACGGGTTTAGACAACTCTCTGATCGCGTGAGGGTTAGGAGACTACCCGAGGAAAACGCTAAAGAGGAAGTTACGGCGCTGGCGGTGTTAGTGCTGGTGCTGGTGGAGCTGGATCCAGGTGAAGCAACAGCAGCCGTAGTGGCTGTGGTGGTCGCGGTAAAATCGACTGGAGCACCGGGAATTTTGCTAATGGATGTAGAAGAATTTGATGCCTTCTGTGACTGCCGCAGGCACACCGGTGTAGTGGTCTTTTCAGCCGGTGAAGTTTGTCGAAGAAGTGGGACGAGGGGAACTTTCTCCTCTATTCAATCAAAGTTGAAGTAATCATAGAATTTACATAAGTATACCCAATGTAAATGTCGGCTTATGAACATTGATTTTTAATCAAACTCTGCTCATTGTTAAATAAATCGATATTGATATGCCTCTATCTAGTACAAGCTGCTTTAATATCGGTTATAGAGATGAATGATTCGGCTATACTTTGTTAGGATTCATCAGCATATTCACACTATCTGTGCTTAGACCTTATAGTTAAGGTCTAAGATTATTTTTTGTAGTGATCTGACGACTGTCACAAATATCCTGCGAAACCGCATAACAAGCACTACCATAACTAATGAATCATAAAATAAGAGGCTGTCATGAACAATATATCGAACACATATTCAAATTGGAAGCCAAATTATAGATTAATTATTTGTAAACAGTTCTTTTAAGACCCATATTTCGCTGATTGCGCGGTAACTGCTACGTGCGTGTCAGTCGGCCCACGCTCCCATCTCCCATCATCTTCCCGTTGTCAGGTGGGTACATACGCACACCTTCAGACACACCCATCGAAAGCGCACAAACTGGACATACGACCATCTTTGCCTGCCTTCTTCAACATCCTTCTTAAAATACCGTGGGGGAAGATAGCATCCGTTATGTAAATTTATTTTTGAACATTATTTCCTCCTACTGAACAGTTCTATACCAGGAACAGGTACTTTCTATCAAAAATTCCTGCCAATTAATATCACTCAAATTAAACCCTTTTTAATGGATAAATTTCAAGACGCCCGATTAACGAATCCTTCCTGTGTTAGCAAAATACAATAAATATCAGAAAGTCTAATTATCTAGGGAGGTAGGAAACTGTGTTAGGAGAGCATAGCTGCGGTTGAAGCAATAAAGTATCATAGATCATGAACATAATACATGCATATGCACGCAGGTTGGTGAGAGAATTGCAAGCAACCAGAGCCGGCTTCTTGGTCTCCTCCATTTTGGCTGCAAGTCAAGTTCGAACACGCACACCTAATAAGCGGAACACCACCTTCTAGTGACAACTTCTACCAATGTGCCTTTCATTCGGCATAAATGTAGGTCCATCTAGTCTATGTGGTGGTCATGTGGGTAAGAAAGTTTGCTCTTGTGTATGCACCATAAGCTAACCTTTGATACAATCCATGGTCTTATACAGGATGTTTGTCAAGTCAATCCAAATGTTGATTTAATGCTGGTTTATCTTCTCCATTCACCTCATGGTGATTAATTAAGAAACTAGGTTTCGCCTACCAGTTAACAATTCAAATAGAAGAATGAAATGCCTTCCACAAATAGTGCTAGTGAGAAGCTGTCATTTAGATGCGGCCGAAGGCAAGCTTTAGTGCAGAGTAATTTCGATTCCTCTGGGATTTCCATCCTTCCCATTGTTATTGGAAATCCAATGTTAATGGACGCAAAGTATTCCTTTTCCAAAGCCAGTATTTCTGTTCATTAACACCAACCATAAATAAACCTTCTACGCTGTTTACATACAACATAAAGGAAAGATGCAACTTCATTTTCAGTGCATTTAAATTTGTTTAGAGGGTTATTTTTCAAAGATGAAGGAACTTAAGTAAACGATTTACATTATTGTGTATGACATAGTGGTTTATTTAATCTTATTATAACTATGTAACGCAACTATGTATGATTTCAAAAACTATTTTGCTTAAGTAAGCGTACTTTAAGTCATCCATAGTACTTCTCCCTATGGCATTAAATTTTCTTCTACAACTTGCCTGATGTTGAATTTCTCCTCAAGAGGTTGGTGGCAATATCCTTTGCACTAAGTTGTGCAGAAAGCACAGGTGAATAATTGGCTTGATTCTCATTCTCGATGTTTGGAAATTGTGTGCTTGCAGATAGTAAAGGTTCAGGTGAAGTGAAATGTACTGGACCCGTTGTTGATGGAACTTCTGCGACTGGATTTACTTTCCCAGTTTCAAATTGATTCATGTTTTGATACATGTTCGGAACTGCTAGTAACTCCCCTGTGGTAGTGTCAGCTAAGGACATTGTTCGATTCATCTGTGATCTCAGCGTGCTTTTCGATCTAGATCGATTGTCCTTCACACGTCACACCAGGTCTAGAAATAACTGTGCGATCTGAATTCCGCTTATACCATGAGCAAGGTTCAAATTTTGGGGCTACCCAAAAAATAAGGTGTTGATTGGTCCGCACCAGCTGTATTTTATTGGCTGCCCCATAAACGCGTGCTCAGCCGCCGATCGATAGGCTTATCGCTCACGCTTGGATGCTGATTGGTCCACTTTCAGATTTAGCTTAGGCGAATGACATACAAAGTTATATGAGTGTGTTCAAATCGGAATATTTTGTTTAAAGCGATATGAAAATAACTTTCAACACTATTGCATCATACCGCACATATGACTGACTGTCATCAGCAATAGCAGAAACTGTTTGCATAAACCAGAAACTGAAACTACTTTAGTCTCGTCAAAAGATAACGACGATGTGGTGACAACTTGCTTAGCGAATAAACTTAGATAAATGGGGTGAATATGCATGAGATAGCAAAAAACCCAGGCACGCGAATGTGTGTTGATCAAAAGTAACCTGAAGCTAAGAATTGCTATTCGGTTAAAATGAATGTTCTAACTTAGCTAATTTATTCATACAATTATATCTTACCCAGTTTAAAATGTTTTGATTTGATGACCAACTAGCAATGTTTTTCAACAATTAATGCTAATTTTTGAACATAATGGGACATTAAAATGCGATACATCGTCATTTGTACTTACGACACGAATTTAAAAGTATCTATAAGCCTGACTAGTAGAAAGCTTCAGTGACAAATAACTATTGCAGAGTCCTAATAGCCCATTCGGGCTATTTAAGGCACATTAGGATACCATTTTTGTTAACTTGTATTCATTTGTGCACTTGTTCCATATTAAATAATTCCCACTGACTGACTACATTGCTGAACGTAGTTTAGTGACTGAATTTTACTCCCACAATAATACTCAGATTCTTCAACTGGTGTTACAAGACAACTTTTGGTACCATAATGCTTTTTTTAATTGTGGAAACACAGAACTCTAGAATAAATCAAATGAAGAAGAGACACATTTTAAAGAGCTGCGACAAGTGAGCATGAGTTTATTTCGTTGTTGCCAAGTTGCTTTAACTTTGGCCGAAGACAAATCTTTGAACTAACGTAAGATTGATGTCGGCCATCCTTGTGGATTTTGATTTCTGCCGTTCAAGTGATCCTAATCTGATTGGCTTTAAACTCATTTTTTGTAAAACAACAAAAAAATGAGATTGACATGATGAATGAACATGGACACCCAATTATGTCTTCCGCAGCATTTCCTTTTTTCAAATTTTCTTTGAATAGAGCAAAAACGCCGCTTTTCTTTGAATTTCAAAGGTGGACAAATTAGATTCCTGTTTCATTTTAATTGAAAATTCACAAATGAATGGTTAAACAATTAGAAATTGACTTCCTATATCCGATAGACGCACTTGCCTTATAATGGCAAAAACTTCACAGTAACGACTTGTTAGGGCGCCTGACTTACTGCTTGTGTGGAGGTGCATGATTTTGATCACTTTCTTTCAAGGTGACAAGCTGTAGAAGGAGCAGCTTAATGGTTTTTTGATCGTGTACATGCACAATGGTGCAGGCCTACGAGTGGCTTCCTACTACTTCTTCTCTTGAGACATAAATTAAAAGAATACGTAAATATTGGAGAGCAAGAGCCTCAGTTACCTTTTATTAGCGCAATTTTTAGAGTCACTCGGCAATACTTCGACTGTCCTTATTAAAAATATGTCATTGGGGGAAAAATTACAGCTTCACTTTAAGCATTAATTCGCACTCGCTTGTACCTTATCTTTCTTATTACAACTCTTCTAAATTTCCTAGTTTATTCCAGCAAAGATTGAAACTCAGGAGCTTTAGATATTAACATGAAAATCGCATGCTTCAGGTGCTTTGGATTGGAAAAAATAGCCCATTTGTGGACCTACATACAAAGGACGTTGTTTGGCAGTAAATTCCAAGATATTCCTTACAGAGTAACATGAAAGCCATGTACTCTCTTAAGTCGTCACTTAAAAGTGGCTAGTGTTAGACAGTGAACTGAACGTGTCAGTGGGTGGGTAGGTGGGTGGTGGGGCTTTTGTTGTCAAATCGATCTGCTGAGCAAGTTGGAATGTGCGTCATCCGCAATTCGAAGGCAATCACACAGCTGACAATAGGCTCTTTTTAAGCCCTTCTGCTGGCAAAACACCTGCCAACAATTAGCCACGAGACACAAAAATCGATGCATCCGCCGATGACGCATCCGCATCATCGACCGAATGGGCAGTGTTTGCTCTGTGGCAGAAGCTATTGGTCGTGCCTTTCAATATATTCGATTCCATTCTTTCTGTGGCGCTTTCAGTGATAAAGTCAAATGAGAACGTCATCAAAATAGAGGCAAAATGTATGCTACTATGTGGCTTAGTCATCAAAATTGATGCCATGCAGTGTTTTAGAAGCACCATCATCAATTCTGACATTGAGAGGCATTGGATACCACAAGAGTACTTTGCATGATCCCATTTATTGCACTAGGAAAGTTTGTTTACAAATCAATTTATCAATTCCGGTTTAATTCACCTTCTCAGAAGCTAGCACTCGTATGCGATCGTTTTCTTCAAAACTAAACATGCGTACTAGCATTTTATCACATTACAGCGTGAGGAACCACGGAAATAAAGGCAGGAATGCATTGACCCAGGATATGCTCTTCAAATTAGCCCCTGTGGCAGCAGCGTTGCAAAAATTTAGTAAAATTTAAGGATTGAATCGCGATTTATATTTATTTGATTTCCTTGCACGCATCACTCGTGGAACAGTTTGTGCCAACTGCCAACACAGCGTCTGAACCAGAAACAAGTAAAATGGAATAAAATGATAAGATTTAATTATTTATATGAATATTCCCTTATTCAACATTTTATTCTAAGTATATGAGTGAATATGAAGTGGCTGACTTCAAGTCCGAATCAGTCTCTTGGCATCAATTGTGGTTATCCTTGGATGTTTTGAGAGACAAATGTACATGATTGAAGCGTACACAGTGTTCATCGGAGGTGTTGCTTGGTCCCTTTGCTCACCCTAGTCATTTGATGGGCAGTCGGTGATCTTATTGGTTTATTGAGTAGGCGTTGGAATTTAAAGGAACAGCATTCAAACTGGAAAACGACGCCTCACATTACAAGGCTAAATTCACTTTACGTCTCGTTCACAAAATGCCTCATATTGCTGATGAATTGACCTGGGTTGAAGCATGGCCGAGTAATTAGCAGCAAAAAATTTCAGATAAAGAACAAAATCAGGATGATAACGTCAATAATGCTCACAACTACTATAGGAGGAGCATTTTATCACTGTGAGAAGGAAATTGAGTAAACCAACGACTAGCTGTAGGAGTGTGAAAAGCATCCTAAGAAGGGAGAGCACATCGCCTAGCTTTTAACCAACTTAATTTGATTAACTCCATAGCCATCAGAGGGCATGATGGTCCAGTTCCAGCCAAGAACTTTTTATAGAGGAC